GATCACGTGACTGTGGGGGGGTGCTGTGATGTCTTATGTGTGAGGACTGGTCATAAGTAGCTTTTTCAGCACTGTTGTAACTTTGAATGAATGGTTGTTAGGTGAGGACTACCTGTATTCCCGTTTTATAAAAGGGAACTGTGGTTCTGTTAGGCCATTTCCAGATTACAAAAATGGGGAAAATGGGTTGCTTTGATTGTTTTATAAAATATAATGCAATCTGTTATGTGATAAATGGAAGGCGTTTGTTCCAGACGTGCTATCAAAGGAAGTCTTTGAGTCAAATTTCTAGTGGCTTCATGAAGATGGCCATGTCAACAGTACAGAAATGTCATTCTATTGCAATGTTCTAGAATGTTTTCCCCAATGTCCCAGTTCAGTTTATAGCCATAGGACTGTCTGGTGGTCCCCCATCCAAGTACTAGTTAGACCCAACCCTGGTTACTTTCCAAGCCCAAAGTCAGCAGGCACTGCCACTTGCTAAAACCAAGTTTACATCAGCATGGTGGGCAGAACAGCTTGAAGAGAAGGATTTTCTTTCTTTCGCCTAGCTTAAAGGGACCTGGATTGCTTTCTGGATCTCACCACTGTTAAACTATCCAAATCTAGATTGCAAAATGTACTAGAACGATATTGACATAATAGCTGGCTTATCCCATTGTACCATGCATTAATGAGATTGGCTTGATGCTATATTGTGTGAACTCACCCACTGTTATGTAAACTATGATCTATGGTTTAGCACTGTGTGTGAATCCAAGCCAATTATAGGTATTCAATAACCATTAAGCAAACCACAACTTAATGAGTTCTATCATATTGTGTTTCACCATTTCTTTCCATCAAATGTCCTGTGCTGCTCATGGGGAAGAATGAAATAGACAGCAACTGAAGTTTCCACTTTTTTAACTCAAATGTGGACCTTTGCAATCAGCATCACAGCCTGGGCTTGAAGAGTCAGAAGTCACAACATGACTTTGTTTCCTTCATTCTTCCTTTGGCTAAACACCTGAAGGGACCTTTGTGATAAATTAAGTCCTTTCAACACAGCCCTGTGACTGTATTTTGAATATTGAGTTGGACTGGAATTACTGCAGAAATATGAGTAAAAAAATGGGTTTCACAATTTTAAAAGGTACGGTAAGATTCACTAAAGGCATACAAGTAGTCCTCACTTAATGACCACAATAGGGACTGAAAAATTGGTCTTTAAGCAGGGTGGTCATTAAGCAAGTCATCATAGGACCAGCCTCGATTTACAACCATTTTTTACGATGGCTTTTAAGCGAATCACTGTGGTCGTTAAGCAAATCATGGTTAAGGGAATCCAGCTTTCCCAATGGACATTTTTTGACAGAATTCACTTAATGACCACATGATTCGTTTAATGATCATGGTGATTCACTTAATGACTATTGTAAAAAAGGTTGCAAATTGTGATCATGACCGTGGGGGTGGTGCAATGGTTTGCAACACTCCTAAGTGCAAGTACAGGTTGTGAAGCACTTTTTCCAAGGCTGTTGTAACTTTGAACCATTGTTAAATGAACAGCCATTAAGCAAGGACTACCTGTACTGACATAGGTAGCACCACAGAATTGTGAAAATAGGCATTTGTCAGGACCTCTGAATAGCAGATGTTCTCAATTTTTTCTTTATTTTATGGCACCTTCATCAAACTGTTTGGAGGTAAGAGATGGAACGGTCGGTGAATCAGTATGGGTGATCAGCACCAACTTTTATCTCCACAAAAACAATCAGATCAGCTTCAAATTAGATTTGAGTACTGGCAGAGATAGTAGGGAGGCAACTCGGGCATTGCTTGACTGGCTTTGGATTCATTGCAGCTCCTGAAGATGTTGAGTGTGTGTGTCTGTGTGTGTGTGTGTAGAGACAAGAGGGTTCCCATCTGCTTATTCAACCCTTGCCCCTCCTGGTAGGCTCCCACTGGCCTTGTGGAAAAGTGATTACTCCGAGTAGAATGTGTTCCTCCCTTGCCTAAAGGAAGCAGTTGCATGACCTTCCTATAGGCAAGAGCTGATAATTGTAGCCATTCTCAAACCTTCAAATGTATGTTCATGTACTGTCAAATGAAGCTGTTCATATTACATTTAATTTTACTCTTGATTAACCATCCAGACCAGCAGCCTCCATAGAAATTTTCTTCTTTCAGCAATATTTCTTATTTTACTTACATGACAGTACTGATATAATTTTAAAAAGCTTAGGCTCAACACATCAAATAGGTTATATTTATGGCCCACTATTATTTAATCTTTGTGTAAGTGAATTAGTCTCCTTTCCTTCCCTCGACTGGCAGTAATTTTTTTAAAAAAATCTAGCACTGCTTGACACAGATATGGGTCTGCAACTAGATATGAAATTACAATCCAGACTTGGAATTTACTGCAAGACATTTGCTTATTAACTATGATATACAAAGCTAGTGATGTGGACCAAAAATCAGAAATTGCATAGAATGAGGAAACTGAATAGAACCTCTTCGGTCAAGTACTTGAAACTTCCTTTTCTTGTGGGTGTGAAAATTCTCCATAGCAAATTTACTTTGAGGCAATGAAATTTCATTGAGATCTAAACAGTAATTTCCTAACATAGAAGTTTATTAGAAGCAACGTTAAGACGTTTTGGCTCTTAAACTGTAACTTGTTAGATTTTATAGTGCAGCAGTTTTGAATAATTCTGCTACAATGCAGTGTATTTTAGCGTGACTGTATTTGCACTTCCTCACAGTACACGTTGTTCATTACTTTGAACGCAAGTGAATATTCCTCTTTTTAAAACAGAGGTTTATAAATGCCCAATTCTGTTACTAGGTGTACAAAGTACAGATGAGAATTTTAGGAGCTGCAGTTCCAATGTATCTGGGAGGCACCAGGTTTGGGTAGACAAATGGTTACTTCCAAAGTTTGGAACAGGCTCCCTCTGCTGCTGCTGGTGCATAATGCATCGATTACATTTGCCCATTTTAGACCTGACTTGCAGAGGCACAAGGTCCACACATCAGAGGCTCATAAAGCATGTTCTATGAATGGGCCACTCACTCACTCACTCCTCAAAGCAGCAGACAGGAGTTTTGGACTGTACGCTGGCTCCACATCCCGTTGTATACAAAACCTTGTATACAAAAAGTAGCTTTCCATAGAAAGGAATACAGGAGAACAAGCATTACTTTGCAGCTTGAGAAATGTAACTATTGTATCAGTTTCACACAACTGTGCATCACTTGATAATACCCATACTTGAGAAATTATTCTGGAAGT